CCAATGTAATCATGAAGGTCCTTACGGGTGGAAGAGGGAGGCAGACAAGGAGGTTGGAGTCATGCACTGTGAAAAGAACCTGACCCACTGTTGCTGGCTTTGAAGATGAAGGGAAGGACCACAAGCCATGGGATGTGGGCAGCCTCCAGAAGATAGAAGAGGTGAGGGAATGGGTTTTCCCCTAGAGTCTCCAGGAGGGAACACAGCCCTACCAACACCGAGATTTCAGCCCAGTGCAGCCTGTGTTGGACTTCTCGCCTACAGAGCTGTAAGATCATACATCTGTGTTGTTTAAGCCGCTAAGTTTGGGGTAATTCATTATGGCAGTTGTAAGAAACTAATACAGTAGAATCATAATTCCCATTTTATGAATGAGGCTCAGAGATGCTGATTCACTCTCCTAGGATCACACAGCCTGGTTCCAAGGGTGCCACAGGATTTTGATCAGGATCTATCGGACTCCAAGCCCATGTGGACATCCGGCTGCTCGGAATTTACATTATCAATTTACATTGATAGAACCAGTGACACCATCTAGCTCTCAGCTGCCAAGATGGAGAGCCAGGCCTCAGGTCTCATCGGGCACAATGGCATGTGCCGAAAGACGAGTTCCTAGTAAGCGAACGTGGCGCCACATCGCTAAGTTCTGTGGAAACATCATTACTAATCGTGAAATTCTAATGAAGGTCTAGGAGCTTCGAGAGAGCAAGATGAGAGAAGGACTTGTAAAAATGGCAGTGAAGCTTGGGGCAACGTATGAGCTACAGAACGTGTCAAATTCCAGAAATGCTATGGCTGGATATCAGTCAAGATAGACTTGACTGTCTGAAAAGCCGAGAGGAGAAAATACCCAGGAGAAATGTCAGTACACAGCAGTGAAGGGAAAGTATTTGAAATAAGAAAAACTGTTCAGTTTGTATTCTGCTTTTCTTGTGTCTGTCAGGGGGGCATGAAAGCAGGTAACATTTCACGGAGATTGCTTCCAGGGAGCAGGGAGATCACTTTAAGTTCCTATGAACCAATGAGTCTAATTCACAGCACAAGCCAACGGGACTCCCGTAAACTGCAAGAGGTCAAGCAATCAAAGTACAAATAAAATAGCAGAAACTCAAAGGTGAACTCTTTCTCAGCCACCAGGAAAATTACTAGACTTATTACAACCTCTCTCAAGTGTTTTGCTCCATAAACCAGGGCAAAGATCGTGGGGACCTGTCCATTTAAAGAGAATACTCAGCTGAATTTATTTTCCACAAAAAAATAGGACATCCCAGAAAATAGCTAGAGTTTACTGTATTCTTGTCTGGGCCTTTTTATATCCAGTGTACCTTATTCAGGTGACCCTGGGTGCCGCAAATGGTTAAGTGCTTGGCTACTAAATGAAAGGTTGGCAGTTCAAACCCACCCAGAGGCACCTCCTAAGAAAGGCCTGGCAATTAGCTTCTGAAAGGTCCCAACCTTGAAAACCTTATGGAGTAGTTCTGTTCCAACACATGTGGGGCCACCATGGCTGGACAGCAACGGGTTTGGTTTTTGGTTTGGTACCTTATTCACGAAGGTGAGTTTCCATGGGAAACAGGGCCATTCTGGGAAGGACTTGTTGCCAACAGGTTCTGATCAGCATTCGGCGAAGTACTGAAACTCAGCAAAGCTTGACTCTGAGTCAAGTATGTTAAGGAATAATTCCTAGCTTGACTGGACCTTTAGCAGTTTTAATAACTTAATTCATTTGTTCAGTGAATTGGTGCTGACTTTATCGTGCTGGCAAACGATTCTGACGGAAGTTTTCCTTCCAACTATCAGGGACTTGGCATTCCTACAGAAGGTCAAACGAAGCACTTGATCGTCTGGGTCTTTGCTGATTATGTCCTGGATGAACAGGCAAAGCCCATATGGCTTTGAATGCAATAGAACGGTGGAGTGGTACCGTGGTGTTCTAGCAAGGTGGTTTAGAATGAGGGGTTTTGGATGCACCGACTCCTGGATTTGAATTTGGGCTCTGGGCACTTCCAGCTCAGTGACCCTGAGCAGGTTACCGAATCTTTATGAACCTCAGTTTTCTCATCTGCTTGATGGGTATAAAAAATAGCATTCTACGTGCGCCTTCTGTGAGCACGAAATAGGAAGATGGACATAAAGTGTAGCAGAGTTCTCTGTGCAAAGAAGGGGCTCCGTAGATAGCAGCAATTAAGAACTCTATTTTATTCATGAAGGTGCTCACAAGGATTTTGTCATTATTCAACTTCTCCATACCTTGGTTTCCGGAACGGTGACATTGGAATAATACCAGCACCCACTGCAGGGTGCTGTTGTGGTTAAATGAGCGCAGTGAACTCAGTGGCTGGTACATTGTAAATGCTCAATAAATGTCAGTGATTACCATTGTTAGTCAAATAGTTAGCTGTGGACACCTAGATGAAATCACACAGCATATTGGGATTAAAGTCCTGTTTATGTGTTGGGTGGACTGGGAAGTAAATAGAAAAATTTTTCTTAAGGCTGAAAGGAAAGGAGCTTAATTCCCAGTCTTTTTCCTGGCATTCAGTTGGTCAAGCCATTTAATGTCGCCAAACCTCAGTGTGGTGGTCACTGTGGGTGGCCCCTCCACTTCCCCTCAGACCTGACCATGGCGGAGCGCACTGACCTCATGTCTCCCACCTGCCGCTCTGCGACGCTGCCTGAGGCTCTCTGGCTGCTCCGGCCACGTGGCCCATGCTCGGGCTGATCTGAAAGCTCCAGGGGAATGATCACCCTCCAGGAGCGGTCCATGCTTTCACTGGATCCTGTAAACAGCCAGTGAAAAGGCGGATGCCATTGTCCCCATTGGAGAGTGAGTGTCTCAAGCCAAGTTGCCCCAGAAGCAGACCCTGAGATGATTCAAGGAAAAATAGAGGGTTGGGGAATTGAACCTGGGAAGGGAAGGAAGGCAATAAATCATGCATTATGGAGAATGTTACCGCTGCGGGTAACTGGGGCTCAATCCCCCTAAGAAGCAGAGCGCAGCGTAGAAGATAACTCACAACTCTCCCAGCCCAGGGTCAGGGAGCATGGTATGGCCCCGCTGCCTCCTGTCACAGCTAGTGAGTGGTGGAGCTGCAAAGCCAAATCAGGTCTATCAGACGCCTGGACCCAGGCTCTCCTGCTACCCTGGTTGCTCCCCTTTGTAAAAGGCTAGATCCACTGCTCTTTTCTTGACACCAGAAGGAAGAAAAGCAGCTGAGCGAGCTCCCCGTTGGACTACAGCAGCTCTTTACTGTGAGCCTGCTGTGGACCGTGGAAGCCTGGCTCTCTCTGGGCCGTGGCGGGTACTGCTTTCCATTACCGGAGCCCCGAGTGTACTTGGAATTGCCAGGGCTGATGAATAGTAACCGCTGGCTGCTTTGGATAATTCACGACAGCTTACGAAGCAGGGGCAACTCTGTCCTCTTGGACAGCGCTGGGGCACACAGTCAAATCCAGCCACTGGTTCCAGGAACAGGGGCTGGGAGCCAGAATGGACGCCCGCCCGTTCCCCTCCGCCACTCCCAGCCCACCAGCCTAACAGCCGTCGGAGCCCAGGCTTGCTTCTTCACCCAAGGTTGGCTTTCATGCTTGTCCTTCTCCAATCCACTCTCTGCCCTGCAGCCTCTGTGATCCTTTCTAAATGCTAATCTCATCATCTTCCTCCCTGCTCGAATCCTTCAATGCTTTCCCTTAGCTTCAGGATAAAGACAGGATGCCCTTATCACCACCCAGCCTCCGTGCAGGGTTTCACCCAAACACTCACAAGCAGCCCCATCTCCCACAAAGCTGCCCTTGCTCATTAGACTCCGACCACACTACATACCCACCGTGCCTCCTACCATGAGGAGAGCTTGTCAAGCCTGCTCTCTGCCAGGAACACTTTTCTCTTCCACTTGCAGACCATGCCATCTTCAGATCTCCAGTTCACTCGTTGCTTCCTCAGGAAAGGCCTCACTTGCCCTTGTTAGCTACCTTCGAGGGGATTCTGACTCATAGAGACCCTGTGTGTGCAGAGCAGAGCTGCTCCATAGGATTTCCAAGGCTGTGGCCTTCCAGAAGCAGAATGCCAGCCCTGTCTTCCTGGGAGCTGCTGGGTGGGTTCCAACCACCAATCTTTTGGCTAGTAGTCAAGCGCTTAATCATTTGTGCCACCCAGGGACCCCTGACTGCCTTAACTAGCCCAAAAACAAAACAGTTGCCATCAAATCAATTCTGACTCATGGCGACCCCCTGTGTATCAGAGTACAGCTGTGCTCATAGGGTTTTCAATGGCTGCTCTTTTGGAAGTAGGTTTCCAGATCTTTCTTCTGAGGCCCATCTGGGTGAACTCCAACCACAACCTTTCAGTTAGCAGCTGAGCACATTAGCCTCTTGCACCACCCAGGAACTCCTGACCAAGAAACCAAACCCGTCGATTCCGACTTATAGCAACCCTATAGGATGGAGTAGAACTGCCCCACAAGGTTTCCAAGGAGCGGCTGGTGGATTCAAACTGCCAACCTTTTGGCTAGCAGCTGAGCTCTTAACCATGGCGCCACCAGGGCTCCCAGGAATTCCTAGCTAGCTCAGATCCCTCGGGTACATGTTCGTGTAGAAACTTGTGCCTCTCTATTGTACACATCCTAACTGTGCGTGATTATTTTAATGTCTGTCCCCCTGAATAGAGTGTAAGCTTCCTGAGGTAGGATCTGTTTCTGCTTCTGCTTGTAACTGTATCCCCAGCGCTTTGCACAATGATGGGTGATAGGAGGTCCTTCAGGGGTAGAATGAATGGACAACACTGGGCTCATGAAACAGGGAGAAAGTGAGAGAGATCAGAAACCTGGTGCATTTAACCCTTTTTCAGTGTTAACTCACCCATACTCTATTGTTGTAATTCTCCGTTACCCAGTCAGCATTGTATGCAACAACTTTATTAAGGTTCAAATAGATATCACAATACAGATTTATCCAACGAATCCAGAAACTGTTTACAGATATCATCTAAAATACAAGGCTGTTTTTATGCCAAAATGCTTCCAACATCACAGATCACACGATGTGTTTGTGCATTGATAATGACTTTTACCTAGAAATATAGATGCTCAGCTTGCCCTCGCTGCTGGGCCCTGGTGTTTCCATCGAGTTAAAACAAAGAAGCGAAGATTGGCATTTTCTTGATAATGAATACATTCTGGGGGAATATTTCTTGAGACACCTCTTTTGGATACAGAGTAGCACATGGAAGTCATTTTTAATTTATTGGTAATACTCAAATCAGAATTAATAATTAGTCCATTGAGGTGTGACTTGAGAATTTTTTAATAATTGGATAGAGGAGCATATTATCATTATAAATAAATAGGATTTAGAAGTTCAGCCGGTCGTGAAGGATTTATAGATAATCCTTTATAAATTAATACTTTAGTAGAACAGCTTCTTGAATATGGTGTCTAATACCTGCATCTCCATTCTAAGAAAACAACACTCCATAAACACAATACAGTTATTGGGCCTTATTATTCATGGCCCACAGGATAAGCATCACAAAATACCATAGAACGTCACAAGAATGTAAATATTTCATTAAGTCAATAGATTAAATACTGGGCAGTTACCATTATAACACTGGATGTCTATAAACAGGGAAAACACTTGTTACAACGCATTCAGACTGGGTATAGCCAGAGAGACAAATGTGCAAAGTATACAAAGTGTTTATATACTTCTTTTAACATCCATTTAACACAGTCTTGGTGGAAACTGGAAAATTTACTTAAGTACAGTTCAAATGTTCATTTTGTGAGAAAATGCTTATTCATGCACTAAGTCATACAGGCACTGATTCATCAAGTTAGAAAAACAAAAACAAAACAAAGTAATTGTCTGCAACAAATACTTAGGGACTCACAGTTCTATAGGGCCTAAAACTCAAAAATAATGATGCATGCATATTGCGATACACCAGATTATCTTAGGGAAACCATTAAAACTTCTTCCGCATCAAAGTACATAGGAAAACTCAATGCTACTTAATTTATTTATGCATATTACATACTAGAGACTTTAAGCTACAAAATGCTTCTACTATTTCAACACACATACAAAACGACCATAAAGGTATCTGTGTCTATAACACGGTACTCTCCAATTAGCCATCTTTGATGAATAATATACCTTCTCATGTCAACCCATCTGTAACTGCCATTTATCATGACCTAGGCCTTCTGCCTTAACGAGGACTACAGATCTCTAATTTACATTCAACACTCTCTGCACTAATAATTGATTTAAACTCTTAAAAAATTCTGCCACTGAAATGGAAAGGGGTGGGCAGACGCTACTCTGTTAAATCTGATTGGTAAAGGAAGTGGGGCCACTGGGCTGTTGGCCAAACTCCTCAGAGGGTGGCCCCAAACTCGCCTGCTGGCTGCGCCCTCCGCTGGACCCATAGCCATCTTGGTTGTAACCGCCTTGGGTGTAGCTGCTTGAGTGCTTCTCCATTGGGTCTGAGAGATATCTCTGCCCTGAGGAATGCCAGCCAGTCTCCTTGAACACAAACCAGATGTTTCCAGCCCAGAGAATAAAGTTCAAGAATCCGAAGACCTGAAGGAGAATCAGAGCAAATGAGTTGATAGAGTGGACAGAAATCCAAGAAAAACCTCAATTTTAGAAAAATCCTTCACAATGCAAAAGTCACTTCCTACCTCAATGTGGAGACCTCTTTCAGTTTTTCATCTGGAACCACGACTTCATTTAGAACATCTGACCTTTACCGAGGGCTTACCACCGTCAGGCACTGCATGAAGGGCTCATGTGCACTGACTCATGTAGTCCAAACAATCAGTCTAAGAGGAAGGTGCTATTGTACCCATGTTAAAGATGTGGAAACTGAGGTTCAGAAGGATAAGACACCTGCCCAAGGTCGCATGCCTTAGTAAGGACCGGATCTGCGATTCAAACCTGTTCTGACTCCATAGTCTGGGCCCCTAAACCAGTTGGTCATTATTTCTCACGATGATGGATTCTGCCTTTAGGTGGTACAGGGTTGAATACTTGTATTTTAATAATGGTGTACTGATTAAAAAAAACATTTATTGTGGTAAAATATTTATAACTTAAAATTTTCCATTTTAATCACTTTTAAGAGTACAGTTCTGTGGCAGTAATTACTTTCACAATATTGTACTACCTTCACACTATCTATTTTCCAAACTTTTAATCACTCCAAACAGCAGCTCTGAACCTTTAAGCAATAACTCCCCGGTTTCTCCTCCCCACAGCCCCTGTTGCTTCTCTCCTTTCTGTCTCCATGAATTCGCCTATTTTAGATATTTTATGTGTCTTGAGTCTGCCTCTTTCACTCAGCGTAAAGTTTTCAGTTCGTCCATGTCGTAGCACACATCAGAACTCATTCCTTTTATGGCTGAATAATATTCCACTGTGTGGCTGTATCACATTCTGCTTATCCATTCATCTGTTGATGGGCACTTGGGTTGTCTGTACCATTGGCTTTTGTGAATAATGCCGCTACGGTGAGCTCTTAACCACTGCGCCACCAGGGCTCCCCTGTGAACACTGGTGTGCTCAGATCTGTCTGAGTCCTTGCTTTCAGTTACCAATGCATTAGTTTTTAAGGTTACCTTCTTATGGCGAGATATACTGCTTTTTCATTTATTGTAGTGATAGAAAGAAAGTCAGTCCACTTCAAGAAAAAGCATGAAGTAAGTGATGGTACAGGTGGCATGCAGATAAGGCAAAGTGAGACAGGCGCAAGTCCTGCCCGGTAGAGTCTGTCCAGGAGACTTCTGGAGAGCTGCACTTTCTGTGCCGCTCACATCAGGACGTCTCCCATGCTGAGACCAGACTGTAAATGAGGTACAGGCTGCAGACAGGTAGGGAAAGTTTTCTAGGAACCGGGTGTGAGACTTTCCAGTGGACCTTCCTCCTCAGAAGGATGTTGATGAGCCAGAGGAGTGCGTGTTACCTCCCCCTAGGACCTAAGGTGTGAAGCAGAACTGTTGGCTTCTGCAAGGGGTGCCAGTTAGGAATCCTTGTCACCTGGCTCACTCCGCAGCTTTTTCCCAGGCAGGCTGTTGGCTTGAGGATTAACTACAGGGCAGTCTGTCTCTACTGGAGACGGAGTTCCTGGTGTCACAAACAGTTAGCACTCGGCTACTAACTGAAAAGTTGGTGATTCAAGTACATATGGAGGTACCTCAGAAGACAGGCCTGGTGATCTGCTTCCAAAAGGTCACAGCCATAAAAACACTATGGAGCACAGTTCTGTCCCCACACATGTTCACCATGAGTTGGAGCTGACTTCAAGGCAACCGTTTCGTTGTTGTTTTATTGGAGACAAGTACGAGAGTGTGGTGCAAAGCTGTGATAACATTAAGGTCTGGCTAGTAACCACTCCAGCTCGGCATTCACCAATCAAAACGGACTTGGGCAGGGGCCACGGCTCGGGAAGTTTCTTGCTAGGCCAAAAGCAATCCCTTGGCTGCTGGATGGTGGGGTGGCCCAAGGTGCTCGGAGGGATGGGCTGGTGTGGCCAAGGGGATGGAAGGCTCTTAGGGGCTTGGAGCAGGTTTATTTCCATATCTTAGCAGCAGGTGGGCCAAGGCACACTGGCTGAATGTCGGCTTTGGAGGAATCTGCATGGTTTAGAGTAGCCCAGGTGCTGCACTTTCTTTCTCTGACTTGGACAAGGCCTTTTCCTCCAACCTCAGTTGTTTTTTTTCTTATATGGAATGAGGATGATAATTCCTACCTTGGGGTATTGAGGTTTAGGGATAATGTGTGTAAAGCAGTTAACAGGGTTGAACACATAGTAAGAGGTCAATGAATGGTACCTATGCGCTGAGTCACTTTCTAAAACATTTCCATGAATTATATTCAGTTGCTGTTGCAGCAGCTATGCTGAAGTTGGCTTTGACAGTGAGGCCATTTTCTTGAGAGATGTCAATGGCCAAAAGAAAGTACCTAAGTCCCCAACTGATCTAATGACAGACTGGCTTACCCAGACCTCCCTCCCTCCTCCTTCTTTCTCTCCTATTCCACCTTCTTTCCTTCCTTCAGCATTTACTGATGATCTATTTTGGGCCACGCTCTAGGCCACTTGCAGAGAGAGATACTAAAGATAAATAAGGCACTGATAGAGTATAGTTGCTTGATCAAAATGAATGGGGTAATCATGGAGATTCACATACGGGGTCTTTTAACCATATGCACAGTGACTGGCATATTTTCCATCAAAGGGGAGATCTTGATTGAATTATACTTCTGTGAGTACAGGTCAATGTATGAGTAGAACAATTATTGAGGAATCTTCCCAGATGAGAAGGGTCTGCCCAGGGGTCTAATTTCATCTGGCCCCATAACCCTTGATCTCTCTCTCTCTCTTTTTCCTGCTGCTACTCAGTTTTTTACAAAGGAATGCTCAAGAAGAACGTAGAACTCAGGGAAATGCAACTAAAAAGTAAGAACATGAACACGGCCTTCCCACGGGCACAGTGAAGGGGCACTGATCTCCTACTCCAGAGCAATCACAGACCTCTCAACTGGCACATTTTAGGGACTCATAGGTCCTTACACCCTTTCTTGCCGTTTTGTTGTAACTGAAATCGGGGTAAGGATTTTGATTCAAGCTCCGACTTGGGGACGGCAGAAAGACAGATTGAAAGAGACTGTATGTAGCCTCAATCAGAATGGGGAGACGAAATCTAGATCACCCCAAAAGATGTATCAAGATTGCCTGGGGGTGAGGATGGACAAGCAGAAATAGAAACTATGGCTAGAATAGTTATGCTCAGTGAACCTTGAAAGAAAAATTAAGAGATTGAGAAAAATTCTTTTTTTTTTTTTTCCTTTCCTCTTTGGACTCAAACGCTATATGACTTTAGGAAAATGGATGCAGTTCAGCTGGAGGTGACACCTGTTGAGCCTTTGGGTACCACGCTAAGTATTTCTCATGAGTTAGCTTCAACAGTCTGGTGAGGTCTGGTCTATAATTATCCCCATTTTTCAGATGACATCCCTAGGTTTAGAAACCAAACCAAAGCCACTGCTGTCGAGTAGATTCCAACTCATAGCAACCTTACAGGACAGAGTAGAACGGCCCCATAGGATTTCCAAAGAGCAGCTGGTGGATTCACATTGCAGACATTCTGGTTAGCCGAATCCTTAACCACTGGCGCCATCAGGGCTCCAATTCATTTGCCCAAGGGTGGTTCATTGTTGAGTAGTGGGGCCAGGATTCAAACCCTGGCTGCCTGATCTAGAACTATGCCCGTAACCATTCTGAGTGGCAGCAGCATTGGGAGAGCATGACCCCAGTTCTGACACTGCTGTGACTACCTGGGAAACCCTATGCAAGTCCTTTAGCCTCAACTCCCTGCAGCTGAAATATCTCAATAACTTACTTACTTTAAGTTACTGTGAAGTTACAGATGGTAACGTGCTTTGAAGAAAGTAAATTTGTTATCCAGGTGGAAAATATCATGATTATTGCCTGAACCATTTCCTTGTAGAGGTCACCTACTGTGGTGTGTGTCTGGTTCCTTCTCTGAAACCTATGCTTGCCCATTAGGAAGGCTCCTTTGAGCCGTGATGCTACCACACAGTCCCTCCCTTCACCCCCAGGCATGCCTGATGACACCAAGGTGCAATGGTGGTCCAAGGCGGGCTAATGACAGTCTCTCTACCAGAAATCTGGAATTGGGCTTCAGTGACTCATTTCAGTCCAAGATATTTCTTGGACTTAATTTGTACTCATGAGGAATCCGTACATAGATCAAGAGGCAGTCATTCGAACAGAACAAGGGGATACTGCCTGGTTTAAAGTCAGGAAAGGTGTGGCTCAGGGCTGCATCCTTTCACCATACCTATTCAATCTGTATCCTGAGCAAATAATCTGAGAAGCTGGACTATATGAAGAAGAACGGGGCATCAGGATTGAAGGAAGCCTCATTAATAACCTGCATTATGCAGATGACACAACCTTGCTTGCTGGAAGTGAAGAGAGCTTGAAACACTTACTGATGAAGATCAAAGACTGCAGCCTTCAGTACGATTACACCTCAACATAAAGGAAACAAGAATCCTCACAACTGGACCAATAAGCAACATCATTATAAATGGAGAAAAGATTGAAGTTGTCAAGGATTTCATTTTACTTGGGTCCACAATCAACGCTCATGGAAGCAGCAGTCAAGAAATCAAAAGATGCATTGCATTGGCCAAATCTGCTGCAAAAGACCACTGTAAAGTATGGAAAAGCAAAGATTTCACCTTGAAGACTAAGGTGCGCCTGACCCAACCCATGGTATTTTCAATCGCATCATATGCATGCGAAAGCTGGACAATGAATAAGAAAGACCAAAGAAGAATTGACGCCTTTGAATTGCGGTGTTGGTGAAGAATATTGAATATACCATGGACTGCCAAAAGAATGAACAGATCTGTCTTGGAAGAAGTACAACCAGAATGCTCCTTAGAAGCGAGGATGGTGAGACTACATCTTACATACTTTGGACATGTTGTCAGGAGGAATCAGTCCCTGGAGAAGGACATCATGCTTGGTGAAGTACAGGGTCAGTGAAAAAGATGAAGACCTTCAATGAGATGGACTGACACAGTGGCTGCAACAATGGGCTCAAGTATAACAATGATTGTGAGCATGGCGCAAGACCGGGCAGTGTTTCATTCTGTAGTACGTAGGATTGCTATGAGTCAGAGCCAACTCCATGGCACCTAACAACAACAACAACAATCTATTTCTTTAAAAAGAAATATACACTTAGAAACCATAGAGTAGCTATCTTCTGCTGTGTGTACAGGAAAGAGAGATAAAATTCCATCTGCAAAGAGAGATAATGTAACAGACATGTAGAAGGACACAGAGACAAGGGATGGAGGGTGAGAACAGCCCAGTTTTCTAACAGTCTTCCAGTTTCTGGTCCTGGGTTCTGCCCATGGGTTTTATTTCTACTGTCTTTCCAATTATTTCCTTCTTCTTCTTTTTTTTTTTTTTTTGCATAAGATAGCTCAATATAACTTGAAGCCAACTGAGATTTTAATGGAAGGAATTGTTGTGTTTTGGCTGATTAATATCCTCTTCCCTTCCTTTTTGTCATAGAATTTGATTTCCTTTTCAGAGCTATGTTGCAGTCAAGTGGCTTGAACTCTCTTTTGGAACTTGGAATCTTGATCTGAGTAATACATGATTGGATAAAATTTCCTACTAATGACAACGTGAAGAGGCCCTTCTTTGGTGTCTTACATCTAGACTGCTGGTCCTGCTAGCCCCTGTTATTTTTAGAGTCTGTTCCTTCAAGTCTCATCAGTTTTACGAGCTACTTGATATCTTACCAAAGACTTTTTTTTTCCTGATGAAGTTAGTCAGAGTCAGTTTCTGTTACTTGCAACCAAAATAGTCTAACACACACAGACATTGGTACCAGAAGTGGGGTACAATGAACAGTCTTTAGGGAAATGAGGATTGTTTTCAACTTCCTTCCAGTTTGAGTTCAGTCTTCCCTCACTAGGAACTGAAAGAATGTTAACTGATACGGGTCTAGAACCAGAACACCACTGACCTGTCCTTTCACACACAGCGTGTTATTTGGGTTTGATCCGTTCCTCTTTTCAGTTTGAAGAGACATGTGACTTCATTTCTCATTCATAATTCCAACCACCTAGTTGAAAACTTATTAGAGACATCAGAAGTGTGATTAAAAGGTCCATGTAGGATGTCATAATTTATTAGGAGATTGATTTTTAAACCTACAAACACATCAAGCAATTTTATCTTTGTTCTCTTAGATTTTGAGATCAGGGTTACAATAACTTTAATTAAACACTGCCTATAAGCCAGCTGCAGGTATATATGTTAATGTACACCTCGAAGTCTTTATCTGTCTACCTGTGTGGTCAGTAATAAATGAAAATGATTGTGAGACCCTACAACACTATTTATTTCCATGGTTGCTATCTCACCAAGGCAAGATCCACAGTCCAATCATCAGGAACACCTTAGCAACACTTCCTCCTTCTTAAATGCCTTCTCAGATTGAATTTCAGAAAGCTGTAGAAACATGAGTTAACCCTGAAGCAAAGATAATTATTTTTAGGGCCTGCTATAGGATGTTGTTCCTTCAGCAAACGCTGCTGAGCCTTCCATTCTTCAATCACTGCTGCTTTTTTGCTGTTGTTACAGCTTATGTCTTCCTCAGACACAGCTTCTGTCTTTGAATAACATAAGTTCTTACACTTGTAAAATAAGAATCCAATTTAGCATCCCTGCTAACCGTCAGATTTTCTGTCTTCCTGTAAGAGCCATACACTTGATGATAATATTTGACTTTGCTCAACTAATACAGTTGGGCTTTTCCGAAATTATCAAGCAACTAAACCCAGAAGCATAGAGAAGATTAAAAAAAAAAATTCCATAACTATTATAAGTACTTTTTTATACCATGTGCATTTCCTACTGCACCCTACTAGGTCTGCATAATTTTCTCCAGATAATCAATCGGATGTATTCTAACTATGTGTGGTTTGAACAATGTTTTCTTCCCAGGAAACCTCTATGTCATCAAATATTCATTTTAATATTCTGGCAGGCTTCAGCCTTAAAGTTTAGATTTCATATCTGCTTCTGGCTTCAAATTTTGACTTGACTGTCATCCAAGCAGCAGCTGCTAAAACCTGCTGCGTTCTTATTAAGAACTCCATAACTGGCAGCATAAAAGCCTATGGATTCTGACAGTAAAAAACCTGAAGGCCACAGGATCATCTTTGCACATGGAGTGAAATACCACCTTTTCCACCGGCCTAGTTTTAGAGCAGAAATTCCACCAGATGACTTCTGAGATGTTTTTCTTTCTCAGTTGACTGGCAAACAGCGATCTGGGTGGTAAGGCATGGATGAGAACAGACTTACCACAGACGTGTTTAAGCTGGACATCACAGGGCTGTGGACAGCCATGCACTTGTTGGCCGGCTGTTTGCAAGCTGACATCAGTAACAACACTTCCTTGGGATCCGTTGCGACCTTGACATCAGACAGTCCTTTCGCCCAAGCTGATGAGCCCACCAACCACAGGAATGAAAAGACTACAGTGACAATGAAGTCCTATAGAAACAAACAGAAAGACAAAACATGGAAGAAAATGTGAATTCTAGAAACAAATCAAGTAGTTTACGCAAATATAGGTTTGTCTTTTGAAAAATTCCAAGATCTTGGTGGCGCAGCGGTTAAGAACTTGACTGCTAACCAAAAGGTCAGCCGTTCAAATCTACCAGCCTCTCCATGGAAACTCTATGGGGCAGTTCTACTCTGTCCTGTAAGGTCACACCTGACAACAACAACATCTTAAAAAGCAAATAAAAGAAAGTTTTATAGTATTTTATATATATACACACACACACACACACACACACACACATCCCTGGGTGGTGCAAATGATTAATGCATTCAGCTGCTAACCAAAAGGTTAGAAGTTTGAGTCTACTCAGAGGCACTTTGGGAAAAAGCCCTGGCAATCTACTAAAAAATTAGCCATTGAGAAACCCGTGGAGTACAGTTCTGCTCTGACATGAGGCCATTGAGTTGACTCAATGGCAACTGGTTATATATATATATATATATATATATAATAGAAATATATATATTTTTCTACAAAATAAGTAACAGTAATATTTGTCCCAGGCTTGATGCTAAGTACTTTATAACCATCATCTCATTGTTCCTACAACATCCCCTGTAAGAAAATTATCATCATCATCCTATTTTCAGATGACAAAACTAAGACAGACATGGTCACATCTTGTCTGAGATTCCACAGCTAACCAGTGATGGAGTCAGGATTCAAACCCAGACAGCCGCACTACTGAGTGCATGCTCTTAACTGCCATGCTATGGTGATTTCAAAAGTTTAGAGAGATTTTCCGATTGTTAAAGACCTCTGGATTGCAATATCCATTCATCCACTTATTTAACAAACCCATGAGTTATCTATTATACATGTTAAGTGGAAGATAATACACCCACTCCTTACTTACCGACTGTCTTGTTATCTGACATTTTGCATTTATGACAATAGTAAAAAATCTACTATCTGATTACTTTGCACATTAACAACTTATACCTGGCAGTAATGAACACCGAGGCGTGAGGCGAGAGTAATGCTGGCTGTGACACATAAGCTAAGCTTATGTGCCAACTTGGCTGGGCCATGATTTTCAGTGGTTTGGCAGTTATGTAGTGATGTAATTTGGCAGTTATGTAATGATGTAGTCATCTTCCATTTTGTGATCTGATGTGATCATTCTCCATTTTCACGTTACACCAATTTTTGTATAACAACCTGGACTTTGGAATCTAACCATGTTGATAAGTGAGGAGTGGGTATAATAGCTACACTGTTCTGAGCACCTACTAAGGGCCAGAGATTTTATATAAAGTTATCCTTACAATAATCCTGTTAGACAGTATTTTTAAAATGAGGAAACTAAGGCCCAGAGATATAAGGCAACACACTAGAAGTCTCAGAGCCAGGATTCAAATCCAGGTTTGTCAGACTCTGAAAAGCACCTGCTATGTATGCAGGTGGCACAGTGGTTAAGCACTTGGCTGCTAACCAAAACGTCAGTGGTTCAAATCCCCCTGCCGCTCCGAAGGAGAAAAGATGTATGGGGGGAATTCTACTCTGTCATATAGGGTCACTATGAGTAGAATTGACTCAACGACATGTAACAACATGTTTGCAGGGGAAAGAAGCTTCTTTATTATTATCAAAGAAAAGCTGAATGATGTAAGGGAAATGAAACATTTTAGGGAAAGATCTCTGAACTCCTGATGATGGGGGCTATGTCCTCTCTCATGACTCAGAGGGGGCAACACTGTGCAAAATATAACCAGATCATGTTATAACACAGCAGGACAATTTTTTGGATGTATTATATTTGTGTTTAACTACTATAAAAAATGCTCTGTGCTGCTTGCCTAAAATAACAAAAAACACTGATCTGGAAAGGAAAGTAGTAAATTTGATACCCAGCAGAAATAGGTTTTACTGTTATTCTAAGTAATACACTCTTAAAGTAGAAAAGCTGGCGTGTGTTTCTTCCCAATGCAGAGCACAGTGCCTCGTGTCTTGCCCTGGTCAGCCTGCCCCTGTGGTGAGACTGAATTGCTCTTCACCAAGGGCCCATGAACCACACCGAGGGAATACTCAGACCCTGAGGATGCTGTGGTGACTGACACTCGGTAGGTGTGGCCTTTGTGGAGAAAGTTCTGGAGGTCTCACTATTAACAGTGGTAGAGTCTTCTGAGCAACTGCTCTCTTTTCACCCAGAGGCTGTTGTGAATTATGTAACTCACCAATTTACCTTTTGTGTTGGCTCTAGAAAATGCAGGGTGAATGTGTGATACACTCATAGGGTTTTTTATAGCATGAGTCTTTTAACGCTGGAGTTCCTGGGGGTTGGAAATGGTTAACATGCTCACTGCTCACTAAAAGGTTGGTGGTTTGAGTTCACCCAAAAACTCCTCGGAAGAAATGCCCGGCAATCTACTACTGAAAATCAGCCACTGAAAACTCTGTGGAGCACAGTTCTACTCTGACACATGTGGACTGCCATGAGTTGGAATCGACTCCAACTGGAAAAAAAAATTAACCCTATCCCTGTGCTTTATACCCCATCCTTGTTTTCCCTTTTTCTTTCCTTCTCATTTTTTAATTAATTGTACTTAAATTTCGTATATCCTTGTAAACCATTGTAAGTCCTTTCTGGAATCGGGGAGAGTATAAACAAATACAATATCTATCCATCTACAGCAATTTCAACATTAATAAAAACATTTGGAATAAAGAAACTCAAGTCTCGGAAGTGACTGGGTTTCAATTAGAAATTGGAGGAATAGTTACAAATAAATAAGCCAGCTTGACTGTGTCAAATCACAGCTTTCTGTTCATGTTTAATTGGTAACTTATGGTTTCATTCATGCGTTCATTCAAATATTTTTTTTGAGTAATGTGCCAGGTATTGAACGAAGCCTTACGGGAGAGAAAACAAATGCAAAATACGGAGCCAGCTCTCACGATATTACATATTTGTTAGGCGTCACAGATGGCCTATAATTCCAACTATGAGATAATGACTGTCATTATTTATAAAATGAAAACCACACCAGTTGCTGTCGAGTCGATTCTGACTCATAGCGACCGTGTAGGACAGAGTGGAACTGCCCCATAGGATTTCCAAGGAGCAGCTGGTAGATTTGAACTGCCGACCGTTTGGTCAGTAGCCAAACTCTTAACCACTGTGCCACCAGGGCTCCTCATTACTTAAAGTCATCGTAATTAGAAGGAGAAGCATTTAAGAAAATAACAGGGTCACGTGAAGATCTTTCACTTGGAAACTGGAGAAAACCCTGTCAAAACTTTTAGATTTATCTGTTAAATAATACTACTACTAATAGTAATAATAATAATACCTAACATTTATTGAGCACTTATTATGTGTCAGGAGTCCCTGGGTTGTGCAAATGGTTAACACACTCGGCTGCTAACTGAAAGGTTGGAGGTTTCAGTCCACCCAGAAAAGGCTTGGAAGAAAGATCTGGCTATCTACTGCTGAAACATCATCCATGAACACCCTGTGGAGCACGGTTCTACTCTGTAACACACGGGGTCGTCATGAGCTGGAATCGATTTGATGGCAATGATTTGGGTTTGGTTTATTATGTTCCAGGTATTGTTCCAAATTTACATGTATTAACTCATTTAATCCTAACAGCAATCCTGTGAAACAGATGCTAATTTTGTCCCCATTTTACAGACCAGGAAACTGAAGCCCAGAGAGATTAAATTGCTCAAAGTCGTGTGTCAGTGAAGAAGCCAGGAATCTAAGCTGGGCAGTCCGCCTCCACGGCCTGCGCACTTGACTATTTATACTGCCTCTCATGGCTGCCTCGTGGAACGCTGATTTTCCTACTTGAAACAAGCACACAGAAAAATGAAAAGATTGGATTTGAGGTCCTGCTTAATTTAAATATGAAAAATAGTGAAGAAACATTTTCCACAGACAAACTTCATAATAAAAGTCAAGGATCTATGTCCTTAGAGTAAATATGGTATTTTTTGAAGCTGGTCCAACATTTTATCCCCTAGTTTATTTATTTATTTTACTCTAGATGAAGGCTTACAGAACAAACTGACTTCTCATTAAACAGTACACATATTGTTTTATGACATTGGTTAACAACCCCACGACATGTCGACACTCTCCCTTCTCAACCTTGGGTTCCCTATCACCAGCTTTCCTGCCCCTCCTGCCTTCTAGTCCTTGCCCCTGGGCTGGTGTACCCCTTCAGTCCTGTTTTGTTTTATGGGCCTGCCTAATCTTTGGCTGAAGGGTGAACCTCAGGAGCGACTTTGTTCCTGAGCTAAAAGGGTATTGGGGGGCCATACTCTCAGGGTTTCTCCAGTCTCTGTCAGGCCAGTAAGTCTGGTCTTTTTTTGTGAGTTAGAATTTTGTTCTACGTTTTTCTCCAGCTCTGTCCGGGACCTTCTGCTGTGATCCCTGTCCGAGCAGTCCGTGGTGGTAGCCGGGCACCATCTAGTTGTGCTGGACTCGGTCTGGTGGAGGCCGTGGTAGTTGTGGTCCGTTAGTCCTCTGGACTAATTTTTTCCTTGGATCTTGTTTTCTTCATTCTCCTTTGCTCCCGAAGGGGTGAGACCAGTGGAGTATCTTAGACGGCTGCTCACAGGCTTTTAAGACCCCAGACGCTACTCACCAAAGTAGACTGTAGAATATTTTCTTTATGAACTGTTATGCCAATTGAGCTAGATGTTCCCTGAGACCACAGTCCCCACAGCCCTCAGCCCAGTAATTTGGTCCCTCAGGGATTCTGGATGTGTCTATGGAGCGTCCATAACCTTGCCTCGGACAAGTTGCGCTGGCTTCCCCAGTATCGCTTCCCGCAGGTGTTTTTGTTGCTAGCTGCCATGGAGTCGGCCTCTGACTCAGGGAGACCCCATGCACAACGGGATCAGACTGTCATGATCATAGGGTTTCCACTGACTGAATTGCAGAAGTAGATCACCAGACCTTTTTTCCTAGTCTGTC